CTTTCCCAAAGGAACAAAATGCTATTCTGATGGGTCAGTAAGGAGAGGTCCTGAGTCAGGGCCTCAATGGAGCACCTCAATGTGGATGACCTTAGTCTGCCCAGAGTTCAAATCCTGATTCCACCATCCATGTATACCCATGAGATTTTATATGTGAGCAAATTACCTGACCTTTTAGAGCCACACTTACTCCTCTGAAGTGGAGGCCAAGATAGCTCGTGGTGTTAGGAATCAGAACCCCTGTCTGGTCCCCACAGCTGAGATGCCTCAGTATCAACGAACTCCCGCAGCACCCCCGAGCGCCTCCCTACCCCCCCCCCGCCCCCCCCCCCAGCGCCACCGCGGTCCTCTGCGTCTGGCCGGCCGAGGGCCAGAACCATCTAGTGGGCCTTGAGAGGTTCCCCGGACACGCACCCGGGAAAGCACCAAGGGCAGAGCGCCGCGCAAGCCCAAGCCTCCTTACCCCTCCCACCCCGGCTCCTCAGCCCCTGCGGTCGCTCCGTTGCTATGGCTGCGGGGCCTGAGAGACGCCGCGCGCACCACGCGGGCTGAGCCAGAGGAGCCCAGGGCCGGGCAAGCGCGGGCGGCTCCGCCCCCTCCGGGAGCTCCCGGCTGCAGTGCTCCCGCCCTATCGCAGCGGGACCTCCGAGCCGCAAGGAGCCCGGAGGCCGGGCGCCATGGCCAGGGCCCCGCAGTCCCGGCGACGCCCCGCGGCGCCCGGGAGCGCCCTGCGCGCCTTGCTGCGCTGCAACCTGCCCCCCGGCGCCCAGCGCGTGGTGGTCTTCGCCGTGCTGGCGCTCCTGGTCCTCATCAACGTCGTACTGATATTCCTGCTGGCCTTCCGCTGACCGCCTGGGCAGGGCGCCGCGGGGAACCGCGCAGGGGTGAGTGGCGCCAGCTCTGGGCTCCTTCGGCAGCCGCGCGTCTTCCCTTTCAACCCTGTCATTGGTGCCCGCCAAGGCTCCTAGCCCGCAGTGGCCCGAGGTGCGGCGATTGGCCCAGTCTTGCCCCCGCGAGTCCCATACGGGACGCCACCAGGGGAAGCCTCCCCTTCCAGCCCCATGTGCCAAGGCCTGGTCTATGTGCACACCCCGCTGGGGATGCGACCCTGCAGGTGATTCAGGGGCGTAATGACACTTGTGCCACGGGTTCTTTCCATCTGTCCTTTGTACATGTATGCGTGTGTGTGTGTGTGTGTGTGTGTAGGCGTGTGTGCGTGTGTCTAAAATGGCGCATCTCTATGTGAAACTAAGGATGCGGATGCAGCTGTGACCACGGCTGTGTATGGTTGTCTTGAAATTGTACATGTGATTGCCTTGTAAGCGGAACTGGACCTGCGTTTCTGTGTGGGTTGAAAAGTGTCTAGGAAGTGAGTGGGCTCCTCTTCACATGTCATCTGCCCTTACTTTTCCTATTTTAGGTGTTAGTGGTCTCAGCCAACCTGCCCCCACTCCAGGTAGAGCCCCCCCCTGCATCACCTCGAAGGTGGGCATTCTGAATACTCCCTAGCCCTTGCTGTACAGGGACCCAAAGTAGCTGAGCCACATTCTTTCCCAGACTGTCTGATTGGAATCCTCTGTTAGTCTGCATATGTGAGAGAGGAGGAGATGTGGTGAGAAACATGGTGGGTGGTCATCAGGGGGAGCTTTGAGGCAAAGCCTGGCTTCTTGAAGCCTGTCAGAATCTCTGGGGTACAGGAGTGGATCCTGCCCCCTGTTTCTCCACGGCAACAGTTCCCCTAGCTGGCCTCCACATAAATATTCCGTGTCTCAGAGCCAGCTTCTTCTCCCCACTGCCAGGCCAAGAAAGAGCCTGCAACCCTTGCGGCTCAGCCTGCTGGACTTGAATCTGGGCTTCCATGCAACTGCACCTCAGACAGGGAGCATCAGGAAGGGCCTCTGCCCAGAAATCAGGCAGTATGGGCTCTGGTGGCCTCTGAGCTGTCCTGGAGTTAGTTAGAACGTATCTCTGACTTCTTGGAGCTACATTTTATCTTGGTGACATGGCTTAAATGTTTAATGTCCTTGCTCTAACTTGACAGAATGCCTCACATTTGTAGATCTAGAGGAGCTTTGTGGCCCAGGGAGATCACATCGTTACTTTGGTCATTGACCAATTTGGGCATTGGTCGGGACCAAAGTCCCAGGGAGACTGGGGGAATTACTCATGGCTCTGTGTCTGTCAAGTACCTCCTGTGCACAGCAAGGTACTAGGACAAGGAAGTGACAAAGGTGACCACCCCCCACCACCACCACCAAGGGCTTCTGGATGATTGGACAATGCAGGCATAGGGGCTTGTCCATAAAGGTTTCAGGAACCATTGTCTTTCTGGGAAGTCCTACCTCTTTGTCCCACACCTAGAGCCCTTCTCCTGCAGCTATATAGGAAACCACCTGTTTAGGATCTGCCCTTCTCTGCAAGGGCTGGCAGAGGAAAGCAGCAGGAGGAAGCACTGGCCCATATAAAAGTGGCTTTTTCTCAGGGCTCATTTGAGAGAACCCAGGGTTAGGAAGAGACACCTGACCTGGTTAATATTAGTAGGGAACAGCCTTGGCAGGGAAATGGTTGGAAGCTGGGCTGTGTGGAGTATGTCTGCATTATGTGTTCCCTGCCTAGGCTCCAGGAGTGAAAGGCAGCTTCCACGCTGTCCTGGAGACCTGCATGTGCACCTGGTATAAACTGAGGATGGACAGCATTCACCTGCAGTGTTCTCAGGAGATCAAAGTGGAGCATCCCATTAAGCGACTGTATAAATGTGTTTTGGCAGGTGCATGTAGGGGTGTGTGCAAAAAGAGGGAGTCTCAGGACACTCATCTCTCAAGGATCAAAACTACCCAAATACCCTGTAGTCACACATTTCCTCCATTGTGATGTATGCACTTCCCTGAGGTCATACACACCCTCTGTCCTTATGCTTACACTCACCCTTGCTCACACACATCTTCCGTCCTGATGCATCTGCTCACCTGTGATCACTGTCCCTGAAAGAGGACATTCACCTGCAGACCACATTCTCACCACCCTTGAGTACACTGCTTCTTCCTTGTCTTCAGGCAAGATCCTTCATGAATAGGGGTGGTAGCCTGCTCGTGTGGAGTGTGACAGCTCTGGGATACATAATCCAGTGCCTGCTCGCTAGGTACAGCAGGCACTTTCATGTGGCCTCCCTGAGTCCTCTTGTCTCATCTTGTTCATATTGCAGCCAGGAGGTCTTGATCCTGGGGACCAGGCCTTCCTGCAGAAGAGACATACCTGTAGTAGGTCTTTTTAGCTGGGGTGAGTTCAATGGTCCCTCAAGGAGGCATGCAGCCCCCCAGGAATAACCCAGTGCTTGGTGCCCAGGGTCCCTGGGTGGGCATCAGGAATCTGCAGCCCCTGAATGGCTGTTGCATGGGAGAGTAGGTCTACAGGTTGGCTGTGGATCATTCGGAGGAGTGGTTTCGTCAGGGTTTAGAGCAGGTTTCATCCCCAGAAAACACGAACTGGAGGTTTCTGAATGTGTTTGCTAAGGCCCTACCCTGGAGGAAGGTTCCAAACTGAGTGGGCTCTGGTACCCAGGTGGCCTATCCCACCCTTCACCTTGACCATTCAGGGCTTAGGGGAGACCTCCTAGCTACTGGAGCTCTCAGGTGAAGACTCAGACAGTCCGGCTGCCGCCCTGCTCTGGATCCCATTTCAGTCTGAGAAAAAGCACATACACTGAGCTGGGAGCACCCAGAGAAGGCACCACTGGACCTGAAGCCAAGGAAGGTTTCAACTCACGAGTCGGGGCAGAGGCAAGCAGCTCAGAGGAGAGAGAGTTGGTGCAGAGGGCCTGACTGGTGATGCTCTGAGGCCTTAATTGCCAAAGAGGCACCCTGCAGAGCCAACACTTGGTCCCACTAGAGAGGGGCATGTATCTCACCTCTTGTATAGCCCCCAGCCTACCTCTCCCTCTTGTCCTAAGCCCCAGGGCCATTCATTATTCATGGAGCAGAAACTGAGCCCACTGTTACAGGAAAGCAGGCATCAGCACAACAGGAAATGGGGCTCTAAGCACAAGGGCTGCCTGGGGCAAGGGGGAGGGAGGGAGTCCCATCTCCCTACCTCTCAGGGCAAGGGAGCATTCCTACTGATTTGAGGTCCATGACCATGTGGGAGGAAGGAAACACACTAAATTATTTCAGCAGAGAGAAGTCAAAGAATTGTGAGCCCCATAAAGAATGCTGGATTCCATAACCAAGTGCATAAGGACAATCCTGAAGTATCTGTTACAGAAATAGCAGCTTCAAGATGTACCTACCTCCCCTAGACCTAGGAAATAAAGGAAAGAGCTTGAAATAATTAAAGATGAGGATTCCATGGGCCTGGGACCTAGAAGTCTGAGGCTAGATGGGGGGGGCGGGGGGAGGATGGCAAGAGAGGGCCATGAGACTGGTTCTATAAATGTTCAAAAAATACTGCTAAGCAGATCCAGCTACTGTGATGGCTGGGTCCCCATGTACCTGAGAGGAGTGGCACTGCTGCTTGCCAGGTGACCTCACATAATGCAAGTCCACAAGAAGCCAGTAGGAGGGAATAAGCCCCTTCTTCCTCCAGCCTTGTGGTCTCCCTCCAATGCCACATTAGGAGGACCTAATGTGAGCAGAGATGGTAAATGAAGCTGAGGGTAATAATTAAATCACTGGTCTAGTGGGGTGGGTGGAAGATGTGCCCTATGCAGGGGAATGAGCAACACACTTGTTTCTCAGATTCTGTGGCTCACCAGGAATCTGGTGGTCAAATTCACTTCAGGCTTCATCATGAGCCCTGCGAGTCTAGACATGCCCAAGGCATAGTCCTGTCCCCTGAAGAATGACTGGCTCAGAGGGAGCCTCTGTTCACCCCTCTGTAACATGAGTCAGGATCTCCTCTTTGCAGGGCTGCTGAGGGATGGAGGGCAGAAGGCAGAAACACCCTTCCCAATGAAGAGGTCCATGACAGACTTCCCACTGATCTGCTATCTGTGGCTCTCTCTACAGCTCATCAGTGATGGCAGTGTGGTCTGTGCTGAGGCACTCTGGGACCATGTCACCATGGATGACCAGGAACTGGGCTTCAAAGCTGGGGATGTCATCGAAGTAATGGATGCCACCAACAGAGAGTGGTGGTGGGGTCGTGTTGCTGATGGCGAGGGCTGGTTTCCAGCCAGCTTTGTGCGGGTATGGCACCAGCCTGTGCTGCTCCTATGCCCATAAGGAGCCAACTGGCTCTGTTCAGAAGTGCAGACCTGAAACTGCTCTGGGGTCCGAGGTCCTGGGCATGGACTTACCCCACCCCTGCCTCCCCCCACCCTCGGGGCTGTGCTGAGACTGCAAGGCTGTGGGTTGGGGTGGGGACTGAGGTGTCAAGAAGGCCAGCCACAGTGTGACACAGGCTTCCTCCTCCTGCAGAGCCATCACCAAATCCAGCCTGCTCCCTGCCTGAGGGCATTGAGGGGTGCCCTCAATGTCAGAAAGGAATGGGTCAGAAATGATGGTGTGTGGATTCCTCCAGGGGGAATCTGCATGTTAGAATTCCATCACCACAGACAATGGGAAAGTTAACAACTTTCACAATGCCCTGGGATCTGGGAAAAGCTACTTACACCTGAGAAAATTGACGCATGGACGAGTTAAGTCTTTAGCACAAGAGACCACAGGAAGGGGACCCAGAGCCTACCTGTGGCAGCCTTTGGTCTCCAAGGAAGGAATCATGGTGCCCTCTCAAAAGTCAGGTGGAGGGCAGTGGAGAGGAGATATCCCAGACCTTGGGGTTCACTGCTTCTCCTGCCCCAAACCCCGTGGATAAACTGCCCACTCTCCACCTCTATCTAGCCTGTCCTACTTACAGGTTGGAAAGCCAGAAAGGCCCCATCACCCATCCACTTCTGTCACAGCCCCTAAAGTGCCCCTAAAGTGCCCCTTGTGAGCAGGCACTCGTTCCGAACCGTGAGAGAATGAGCATTTGTTCTGCTCCCAGCACTGCGTCCAGAAACAGCAGAGGAGGGAGAGGAGGAGGGGGAGCGGGTGCAGTCTCGGGTATTGGGGGTAAAAAGGCTGGTGGATCTACGCTTCTTCCGAGCCTCAGTTCCCCGCTGCCGCCGCGTGCCGGTCGCAGGGCGCTGACCCTCGGCAGGGGCTGACCTGAGGCGGCGCTGACCAGCCGCGCGCTGCCTGCAGCTGCGGGTGAACCAGGACGAGCCCGCGGACGAGGAGGCTTTGCGGGCCGGAGACGGAGAGGCGGAGGATGGAGGGGCCGAGGCGCAGAGCAGCAAGGACCAGATGCGGACCAACGTCATCAACGAGATCCTCAGCACCGAGCGGGACTACATCAAGCACCTGCGCGACATCTGCGAGGTGAGGCCCGGCGAGGGGCGGGGAGGCTGGCGTGGGCGGGTCCGGAGAGAGACCTGATGGGTCGCGGGCCGCAGGGCTACATCAGGCAATGTCGCAAGCGCGCCGACATGTTCAGCGAGGAGCAGCTGCGCACCATCTTCGGGAACATTGAGGACATCTACCGGTGCCAGAAGGCGTTTGTGAAGGCACTGGAGCAGAGGTTCAACAGGGAGCGCCCCCACCTGAGCGAACTGGGCGCCTGCTTCCTGGAGCACGTGAGCACGCCCCGCCCTAGACACCCTGCTCCCCAGGACCCACTCGCCCTGTCTCCCCACTAGGCAGGCCCCCTGCCCTGCCCATCTCTGCTGGGGGTACACGGCCCACTACACACACACCCTGGCCCCAGCACAAAGCCTCCCTTTGCCCTTGTCTCCCATGCCTGCCTTCTCTCAGAAGTCCACCCTGCAGGCTAAAGCCCAGGAAACCTGCTGCTCTTTTCCCAGAAGCTTCCAGGCCTCACACCCTTAGTGCCCAACAGCCCTCACGCTCCCACAGTTTTTGCAGCGTCTCTCCTTGTTTGGGAGGCAGACCAAGTCAGAGAAGGCTCCCTGGAGCAGGGGTGCCTGGGCATCTATCTGAAAACATCTGCTTGGGCTATAGTAAGTAGAAGACAGAACTGGGCTGGGCCACCTCTTGAGCATCTTCAGAGCTGTTCATAACAGATTCTGGGCTTCCTCACACAGTGAGAAAACTGTAATTTGTGGAATGTACAGTGCTTACTTCCACTCTAAATGCCAACTGGCATTTAGCCAAGGTTCATGGGACTGGTCTGGGCTAGATGGACTCCTTCTGGCCTCACCTGGTAAGGAATGCACTTGTTACTATCTCTCTCCTGTGGCAGTTATGTGGGGTTGAGCAGAGGATGCCAAGGCCAGCCCATGAAGGACAGTATGTGTTCCTTCCTGGTGTTGGAAGGGCTCTGGTACCTCACTCCAATGGCAGGAGGAAAACTGGAAAGGGAGACCTTACAATCCCCAAGCAGGGACTAGTGGTGGGTCAGAGCAACTGAGTGAGTATGGGATTTGCAGCCAGTTATTCAACAGGCAGAGCTGTGATGGGGGCAGGAAGGGGAGGGCAGGCACTTTATTGATATTACCTAGTGTAACCATCCCAGCAACCCACCAGTCAGCCAACTGCTGTTACTCTCCTATCCCATCTAAGTCCTAATCACTATAGGGCACACCCAATCTTTCTCTGGCTCTACATAGATGAAACTTAAAAAAAAAAAAAAAAAAGGCACCATGAGTCTCATACGATACACACACAATATGGATGTATCTGTCACATTATGTTGAACAAAGTGGCAGTGTCTGTCTTTCAGATATGAAGCCAGAGCTTTGTGAAGGAGAAGCAAGACACTGGGCTGAGGATGAATACAATCCAGAGGACAAAGCCATAGACCCTGACATCCATTTAATCCCCCATAATCTCTTTCCCCTCTCCCTCCCTCTCCCCATCCTTCCCTTTCCCTCTCCTTCACTCCTTCTCTCCCTCTCTTTCTGCCTGTCCCTCCTCCTCTCTCCTCTCCTCTCTCTTTCCTTCTCTCTCTGGTTTTTGGACTTGATAATGCTTCCTTATTAGCATGATTGAATTTCATCCAAAAAACCAGACATACAGTCAGAATATCTGCTTGAAGGCCCTGCTGAGAAAGCTGGGTGGTGACAGGGCACACATATGCCTCAGTTTTCAGATTGCTCACATCCCTGAGCCTAATTCCACATTGTTTGTGCCCAGTAAAGTAGGTAGATAAAGCCTGAGCCCTGTAAACCCAGTTCCTGAAGGAAGTGCAGAGGCTCCCTCCTGATGCTGTGCCTGAGTCGCTTGGGTGGCCTGAGGGACAGAGGGTCACCATCCTAACCTCCAGCTGTGCTCCCCAGCAAGCTGACTTCCAGATCTACTCAGAGTACTGCAACAACCACCCCAATGCCTGTGTGGAGCTGTCCCGGCTCACCAAGCTCAGCAAGTACGTGTACTTCTTTGAGGCCTGCCGGCTGCTGCAGAAGATGATAGACATCTCACTGGACGGCTTCCTGCTGACACCAGTGCAGAAGATCTGCAAGTACCCTCTGCAGCTGGCCGAGCTACTCAAATACACACACCCCCAGCACAGGTAGGAGGCTGCTGGGAAGGCTGCTCGAGGCTCTTCCTGCCCCAGGTCAGCCGGTTAGTTGAGTCCTGGTAGTGTGTGCACACTGTTATAGGCACTGGCTGACAGCCCACGGTAAAACAGTCCCTGCTGTCACATGCTGTCCTTGTAGTGAGGAAAGAGGACAAAAATGGGATATTTAGTTCTGCTGCCTGGCCAGGTGTGCATTGACAAGTGAAGAACTGGCCAAGAGCAGAGCCCTGGAGGGAAGCAGCTCCACAGGGGGCCCTCTCTGCTCTCCATAGTGCAGCCTTCTTCCATCTCACTTCTGCCCCAGGGATTTCAAGGACGTGGAAGCAGCATTACATGCCATGAAGAATGTGGCCCAGCTCATCAACGAACGGAAACGAAGGCTTGAAAACATCGACAAGATTGCTCAGTGGCAGAGCTCCATAGAGGACTGGGAGGTGAGGGTCCCACACCCCAGAAAATACCATGGGGCTCTGCCCCTGAACAATCTAGGAAGGAGCTGCAGCAGGGACCCATGGTCTTGGGAGATGGTGAACAGGAACTAGTGGTAAGAAAGCTAGTCCTCTGCCCAGGCCAACCCACCCAAGCACTGAGCTGCAGGCCTGGTGGCCCCTTTCCTAGTCAAGAGTGTAGGGAATGTGTGAGATAGGATGTCGTTCCTGGTGCAGCTGGCCAGCCCAGCAGGACAGGCCAGCCCCAAGTTTTAGTAACTGTTGGGACTCCTCCCAACAGAAGGGTTTAGGCTTGCCACAGCAGAACCAAAAACTGGCTGCCATGGGTCAGAGCCTCCTGGTTCCATTCTTCTGGCTTACACATACCCCTTGTATCTGCCAGTCTTGCCTTCTAAAGCAGCCAGAGTCCTGAACTCATGGGGACATTCCCGTCCTCTGGAGGTCTTCCTGTCATCTCACCTCCACCCATTAGCCATAAAATGTTATGAAAATACAGATTATTGGGTCCCACCCAGAAAATAGAGACTTAGAATCCCTGGTGGGGATGCTGAGCAATGTGTTGTTTTGTTTAGGGTTTTTTATTTTCCTAGTGGCTGGTTCTGAGGCCCACCCCTGGCCAAGGACCCATACGAATTCACTTATTTCAAACTAAATAGCTGCCAAAAACTCCTGACTGTGGTTTGCAATTCCCAGGAGGAATGGGAAGGGGGCAGGGGTTAACCTGAAAGTTTGAAGTCTGATGATGGGGCTTCAGGTACTAACTACATTTAGATGAGAAAACTTCCTTAGCCCCTAAAAGACAAGGTTCACAGGTGACTTCTAGTCAGGTCTAATTATTCTCGAGCTCAGCACTGATTGAAATATCATGGGAGCCACATACGTAATTGTGTATGTTCTAGTAGTCATCTTAAAACAGAAAAAAAAGGTGAAATTAATTTTAATAATGTTTAATTTAACTCAGTATACCCAAAGTATCATTTCAGTGTGTACTCAACATAAAATCATTAGTGAAATACTTCAGATTCTTTTAGTCTTCAAAATCGGTGTTACTTTACTTACATGACATCTCAGCAGGGATTAGCCATATTTCAAGTGCACATGCCTCTGGCTGCCACGGGGCCCCATTTGCAGAGATAAGCAACTTGTCAGACAACCTTTCCACTCCCCACCCTCCCCAACGACCCCCACCACTTCCTTGGGCTTCAAGAGCAACCCCTCCTTCGGTGGCCTACTGCTTGATACTTGTCAGTGGGGAGCCCGCCCAACCCCTGATGGAGGCAGGAGGCAGTGCCCAGCGGAGAGGGCTTCCAATGTTGGGTGCATTCAGCTCACAGCTCTCCTTGGTGTTTCCCAGGGGGAAGATCTCCTGGTCAGGAGCTCAGAACTCATCTACTCGGGGGAGCTGACTCGTGTTACCCAGCCACAAGCTAAGAGCCAGCAGAGGATGTTTTTTCTCTTTGACCACCAGCTCATCTACTGCAAGAAGGTACCAGATTTGCTGTGCCCTGCTGGATGAGGCATTTAGAGCAGGAGTGGGGGGGTGAGGCTGAGGGCTGGGAGTAACTGCCAAAGAAAAGGAGCCACACACAGGTGGTTCCTTTTCCTGGGGAACTTCAGTGGAGCAGGCCCTTCCCTGGTCAGGCTTCTAGGACTGGGATGAGGGTGATTCTCTGCAGAAGGAGCCAGATAGCAGTGGCCCTCACAGTCTAACCAGTGTTGTTAGTACTCTCTTGCCTGACCTAGGCCCTACTTGCTTCTAAACCCACCTCTCCTGTCCCTGCAACCTCAGTTCCCTGAGCCCTGGGGTCCTTGCTCCTACTGCCTCTTTACTGTTAGCTTCTACTCTCAACATATGGCCCAAGTGCCTGGCCACTGGCCCTGGGCCCAGCCTGGTAGGCCTGGTACTCTTCTCTTCATGTGGGATGAGCCGTGGGCCATTGTTTCCATGACTGCCTCACCATGAAACTATGGGTACCCTAAAGATCCTCCAGGCCAGTCAGTAACTTCACTGAAGGAGTGAGGCTCCTCCATCATGGGTTCAGCACACAGGTGTGGGCCACACCACATTCAGTCTGCCCTCATGAGCTCACCGTCTGCTGGGGAAGTGGGTGAGCAGCTCACTGGCCCTTCCAATTGCAGGATGCGGGGTGAGGCATAAACATGGTCAGGAGAGTGGTTCAAAGGCCTGGGAGGGACCCTGACAAGCAGAACAGGCCAAGAGCTCACAGAGTCTCTGGCAGGACCTTCTCCGCCGGGATGTGCTGTACTATAAGGGCCGAGTGGATATGGATGGACTGGAGGTGGTGGATCTGGAGGATGGAAAAGACAGAGACCTCCACGTGAGTGTCAAGAATGCTTTCCGGCTGCTCTGCGGCACCACAGGAGAGAGTCACCTGCTGTGTGCCAGGAAGTCTGAGCAGAAACAGCGCTGGCTCAAGGCCTTCGCCAGGGAGAGGGAACAGGTGCGGCTGGACCAGGAGACAGGTGCGAGACCCCATCATCCTTGCTCCACTGTGAGGGCCCACTCAGCCCTCCTAAACTCTGAATGCAAGGTCAGGAGAACTTTGAGACTGTGAGACAGCATGTCCCACAGCCCAAGGACCTCAGGTTTTGGCAAGGCTCCAGGGAACCTCTTCATTTCAGCCCCAGGGCATGGGTCTCCTGGCCTGTTGGGGGTTTGCTTCCAAAACACTCACATGTACGCACACTTCATAAGGTGGCAGCCCTCTGCTCAGTTGCAGAAACCTGGTGAGGCTCCTTTCTAGCATGGACCATTCAAGTAGGATTTGGGCACTGGCTTTGAGAAGACTTCTCCACTACAACATAAGCAAGGCACCTCCGCTACTGCATTCCTCTCTCCTCTCCAGCATCAGGCTCAAAGTGATCTGATTGGATCTTGGTCTGGGAAAGCCATAATGGAGAGAAAGGACACTAGATGTTGGAGACATCAGGGATTGGGTCAGGGTGAGAGATGGGATAGGGCAAGATGTGGGGAGGGCCCTTGTGCATCTCCTCTGCCTGGATGGCCAAGGCAGGCTGGCTGAGCAGGATGCTGAGCATCTGCAGTCTGCTGGGACCCCAGACCCTGTGGGGAGGTGCAGGACCACAGAGGACCACAGGTTCCAGGAGGCACAGGACAAGAGAAATATTGGCTGGGGTGGTGGAATGGCAGCCAAGTCCTCAAAGTAAGCAGAGGTCTTATTTGTGGCCCTCTCTCCAAGGCTTCTCCATCACCGAGCTGCAGAGAAAGCAAGCCATGCTGAATGCCAGCAAGCAGCAGGCCACTGGGAAGCCCAGAGGTAAGTGGATGGTACCCTAACTCCTCCCATAGCAGCCTGACCCTACCCATGATCAAACTCTTCTCTAATTCCCCAAAGCAAAGCCAGCTAGTACCTGAGGTCCCTCTGCTGCCCACTGCCCTCTGTATTTGTTCCCGAAGATGGGTGTTAAGAGGCCATTGGTAACAAAGCTTCAGTCAGTGTGCAGTTGATTTTGCTCTCAATTCCCTTGGGTACCCCAGAGCAGAAGCATTAGTGACAGCACACCTCTCCAGGCAGGATTTCTGCAGGTCTTATACAGTCACCTGGCAAGGAGCTCATATCCCCATTCCTACAGATGTTGCCTGGCAACAATGCCTGGCATGGAGCCTGTTCCATGGAGGAGCTCCAGGGTCCCACCACATCTCTGCAGACTAGAGGGTGGCCCAGGCCACTGGGTGTGATGGGCCCCACAAGAAGGAAGTTCCCTTGCATGGAACAGGCCCCATTCTATTCCCTACCAGAGGCTTCTGCTATGCCCTGTGCCACCTGGCTCCCTAGGCACTTATCCCTGCTTCTGCTCAGCTCTCAGCCGGCCCTACTACCTGGCACGCCAGAAGCATCCGGTATTGCCCACCAGCCTGCCTCAGCAACAGGTCTTGGTATTGGCAGAGCCCAAGCGGAAGCCGTCCACCTTCTGGCACAGCATTAGCCGGCTGGCACCCTTCCGCAAGTGAGCCAGCTCCCCATCCGACATCACTGTCTGGACCTGCCTCACCACTGGGCCTCCAGCTTTTTCTCCGAGGCCCACCGCATGTGGCCTACCTTGCAGGTCACGCACACTGGAAGTTACAGGCTGAGTGAGGGACTACTCGGCACCCCATTCATGGATTCTTCCCCACTACTGGTGCACTGAAGACACCAGCTGGAGGGGCAGGGGCCCATAGCAGTGAGCCTCCCGCCACCCTCTGGACCTCTCTATGGGGCCTCCTGGGAGCCACAGCTCAGAGCCACCAGCCAGGCCAATGTGGTCAGAGGACTGGCCACTCTGAACCCTCTTCTCTGGACATCTGATCATCCCTCCTCCTGTTTCCGCTGGACAGGAGACCATCTGCCTTTTTAGCCCCTGCAAAGTTGGGCTCTGTGCCCCTCTGCCCTCAACTGTCTCTGAGGCCCCCAGTCTCCAGCTGGTGGTGCCAAGCAACTTGCATCCCTGGAGGGTGGTAGTCAGAATTCTGTGCACAAAAATGTCCGGCCCAGAGCCCACTCATTTTCGCCTTCTAGCCCCTCTAAGACACTCCTGGCTGCTGGACAACCTTCCTCACTTGTGATGTTTATAGTGGAAAGAAAACAAAACTATAGTCACTGCATACTTCTGTCAAGGTTTGTGATCAGTCCACGTGTAGCTGTGGGTTGACTCTAGAACCTGATCGCATTTTTTTTTTGTTTGTTTGGATTGTGCTGTTTTTCTAACAATGGGGAAAAAGAATTGTTACTAGTGACACAGAAAGATTGCCTTACCCTAAGTGAGCATGAAAAGCCATAAGGACTGAATTCTGTGGCCCAGCATCCAGGACTGACCCACCAACCCAGAGGTTGATAGGCATGTGAGCTAGAGGGAAGCCCACATCCCGCTGAGAAAGGTCACCCATGAGTACAGCCAGGACCTGCCTTGTGGAACACTGAGCTCTCCCTCTGGCCCATAGGAATTCAGCAGCATGTACAGTCACTCTTGCACTATACCTTCTCCAAGCCAGAAACCACATTTAATTTCATAAAGAAATTTATGAAAAATAACCTGGCTGCCAGCCCTTGTTTTTCCATTTTGTCTGTGTATTTTCTTCTTTGCATGCCCCATCCTTCCTGTACCTCTTATTACCTCCTTCTTGGACCTTTCCTTCAACAGAAAGGATGAGATCAGCATCACCCACTGTGGTGGGAGCTCACTTACATGCAGACCATGCCCTCAGAGTTTTGATGGATAGAAGCAAAGGTGACAGGGAACTTCAGAGGCTCAGAAGGAGCTGGGAGGACAGTGTGTGGCCTGGGAGCTGTCCTGGTGTGGGATACAGCTGGCTCAGCTCCTCCAACCTATTTGGGCCTGGAAGCCTCCCTGGCTGCTCCAGAGTCAATGTTTAGCTAAAGTTGGCAAATGTTAATTTGGGGAACAGAAAGTCTGTAATCTTTCTTAGGTCTTAGCATCCTCCACAGTGAAATGGAGCTAAGAATGTGTCCTCCCAGGAGGACCCAAGCCACAGGACCAGGAGAAGAGGAACAGGGCCAGCTTTCCTCCATTCTCCCGGGGGCAACAGTACCTACAACCTGCTGCCTCCACACACCCTTACACACTGTGATGTCGGTGCCATACAAGGTCACCAGGGCTGAGCACCACAAAGCCTCTGCCCCCAAACCCTGGATTTCCTAACTTGAAACTCCTAACTTGGCCTCCCAGCCAGGCCATACCACCTCAAGATAAAACCTGCAGGGAAAAAAAATTAAAATCACAATATGCAACACAAGTCAATCTTTATTGAAAACTGCAGTATTAATACATAACAATTTTTGTTACAATAAACGTGCTTTTAAGAATTTTAAATCTGAGCTCATCTACTCATCAGATTGCATAAAAAATTAAAATAGTATGAATTTACACATAATGGAACTGGCTCAGGATGGATGTTCCATTCCTTTGTATTGACTGACAACACCATAGGTTCAATGCAGAGGTGAGGGATGCCTTTAACAATGGAAGACAATGCTGATTTAAGCTTAAAAAAAGTACCAAGGGAACGGTCTAAAAAAACAGTATTTAAAAATCATTAAAAAGAAAAAAAAAAAATAAAAAAGGAACCATTTCCTAGTCAGTCACAACCCATGTGGCTCCTTGGGGCCTCTCCTCCAACACAGCAACCTGTGATCACAGTCATCACAGCAACCCTGACAGGAGTACAGCACAGCCCAACTATTTTACTGACCACTAGTCTGCACAGGACCCATGGGAGAGTGACAAGGCTCAGGAGGCCCAAATGAGACACCTGTTCTCTAACACATCCACCCTGGGAGCACGGGTCTCCTGAAACCTTCTGCAGGCTTCCTGAACAGACCCCTGCCTCTCCTCTGTCTCCCTGTCCCAAGTAAGTAAACTTTAGTCCTGGCGATTCAGATAAAGTTACCCTATCATTTTCTGTTCTTCAAATGAATTGGTTGCGGGGGAGTGCTGCATGGTAAGTGGGGGGAAACAAACCCTCTGAAACATGTAAGAACAACTTTGCGACTTTCTATCCAAAAAGATCAGACCCTCTTCTGCAGCAGTCATCTGCAAGTCTGTTCAAAAAAGTCTGATGCACCTTCAGAAAGCTCAGGTGAGTAATAAAGAGCTCAGGGAAAAAACACACACAAACATTTGAGATGTGCTAGAGAGAAGAGCTAAGCAGTCTGCCCTTCCCCTGAGCCAACCACACTCCTCAGTGGAGACACCTCACCCACCCTTACAAAGCACCAGAGAAGAACCAGAAGCTGCCCCCCACCCCCCACACTCAAGCCATTCACCCTTAAAACTGCCCATAAGCCTGCTGATGGGTCAGACAATACTTAGACTGGCAATGACTAGGGAATCCAGTCATTAGCTGCCAGAAAGAGAGAAGGTGGCCCAACTGGTCAGAGAAACACTGTTCCAACTGTTTACGAGAACTGGTGAAGAAGCCTAGATTTCCTTTTGGACGTAGGCCCCAATGTTGATGTGGTTGGTATATGCCACCTTTTCATTACCGACTGGCAGGCACACTCACAGAAACCCATATGCCAGGTAGCAGTATATCCAGAGTGCCTTAAGAATGTACTTTCTCTCCTTATAGAAGTGATGGTGCCACCAGATGGAGGAAAGCACTGTATGCTCAGTGTGGGAAGGTGCCCAGCCCAAGGCTCAAGACCTCCCTCATGTCCTGTAAATACTACATTTGCATAGCAGTCAAGAAACAGATTCACAGAATAGCAACTGGTAGGCCTAATAACAATACCAACAAGAATGTTCTGAAAAGATTTAACATGAGACATAAAAGGTTCTAGAAGCGCCTTGCCTCTGTGCCTATCACTATGAATGGCCCTGGCCCTGATGTTGGCCTCACTTCACAGAGGTAGCAAACTGATGGAACCAACACTCATCACTAAACACTCAAGTCACCTGGCCCAGATCCAAACAAAATTTCCATAAGCAAAAAAACGGACCTCCTAAGCCTCAGCAGAGAGGCTGTAGAACAAATTTTTTTTTAAATACCCATGATGACGTTCATGTTTAGAGGAATTAGGTCCTTCACTTGCCTATCTCCACTTCTAAAAGAACCATAATTCAGCTGAAAGACTCTCAAATTTGGAATGTCACATACAAAAAGAAAAGTGAAGTTTCTCCGAATGTTCCATTATTATGCTTGGGATATCAAATTATGTAGCTCTTTAACAGAAGTCTATTCCTTAATTAATTTTCCTGGAATTAAATGTTGTTAAAATTACAACCTATGATAGCATTGCTACTATTCATATGTCCAGATTCTTACCTGCTAGACAAGATCTACCTTTCATTATCCTATTTGATAGCTCAAGCCCTATCAGTTCAAAACAGTAAAGATTTCCAGAGATGTAGTCCATTATGCAAAAGTATTTGATAAAGTACTCACCTTCACAAAAGGGAAAAAAGATTAAAAAAAAAAAAACTATAAGGGGGAAAGTGTTTATGAAGCTGATATAAATGAAGGCAAAATGCAATCCACCCTTCTTGCTCTCAAAAACACCATTTAATTCAGTGCTTATGAAAACACTCACCCTGTGTGTGCCAGGGCTCAAGCAAGCCCAATGAAGCATCCTCTATAACTTCTATCTTTCTGCTCAATTCAAATGACCCCACCCCTTTACATATAGTTTTGTGTGTGTGTGCGTGTGCATGTGTGTGCACGTGCCCATTTTGTGATATTTAGGGCTTTTCTAAAGCATACATTAAAATTGTATTTTCTCCTAATCTAATACCCTAAACTGGGGAAACTGGCTTTTCTTCTATTTGGGCAGTTCACCCCTGCAACCCTTAGAAACGATCAGATATTTATTACAAACCATCTACTATGGAATTACCAACAAAGAGTTGAAGAAGTGGACACAAATCGTGTGCCTGAAGTAAATGGTTCACACACACACACACACACACACACACACACACACACGCATGGGTTAAGTGCTAATAAAGCAATTTAAAGTACTTATCAGAGTAAGCACACTATGTTAACAGACATTAGGAATAAGGACTCTTCTGCTTACAATGATCCATGCAAAAATATTCCTAAACTTCTTATAAAATAAAATGTGAAAAAGAAAATTATGGGGTATTTACTATAAAAAAATAAAGTTACCAAAGGCTCAGGGGTCAGGTGTCCTACTCACCAAATGGGGCCGAATGCCAAACCAGCCAGAGTCCCGACCTAGCTGCCAGAGATGGAGGGGCAAGGTTCCCTCCCCACCCAAAGCTCACAACACTTGAAACAATGATGGGGTGAACAGAAGCATACCCCACCCCCACCTGACAGACTGCTGAAAGGGAACAAAACCCTCACCCTCCCACCCCCTCTCTGAACAGACACACACTCCCATCAATACAAGTTGGGCACACTTAGGCAAAAAAATCTTCATTTCTTATGTACAATATTCAGACTCTAAACACAAAACCATTTCCAAATAAACCCTGGCAGGCAAATACATTCTGATGCTGCCTGGCCCTTTGCTGTCCATACCTGCTTTGTGCCAAGAGCCCTCAGCTAAAAGACATAGCAGACTAGGCTCACAGACAAGAGGCACCAGCTCTTCTCTCACACCTCCACAGACCCACCTCCAGGAGCAGCCTCCAAATGGTTTCAGATGACAAGTCCCCATCAGGTGGATAGGCCCAAACACAGCCACAGCCCTGCCTCTCCACAAGAAACAACTTCAAATAAAGTTTGTTCCCTTTTAATAGTTCTTAAATATACAACTTTCTTCATAACAGACGGCTGAAATCTTTGCCCTTCTTGGAGACGGTGGTGCGAATAGCAATGCCTACATATGTTTTCAGTGGACTGAAACATTTCTTGGGGGAAGGGGGGAAGGAATGGTTTCCTAAATTAAATAAAGGAGAGAAGCCAATACCTTCTCCAAGTGTGGCTGTTTCTCCTTCACATATCTTCCATCCCAGGAAAATAATTTAGTTGTACATAGGACTTTTCCAGTAAAGATACAGAAAACCTCATCTCTATCTGTAAGAGGCTTGTCATAAAAACTTAGATGGCAGAGAAAATTGCTTTCCTGATGAAGACCACCTCTTGCCCCTAACTATACTGGCCACACAACCCTACACTTCCATGATGATTTTTAAGAATGTCCATACCACAATGCCCCACAAGAATAAATGGCAAGAAAGGAATGCCCAGTAAGCTGGCTGCGTCCCAAGCAGTGGCGGCCTTCCCTGCACTCTCCCCGTCCCTCCAACTCTCTCCCCACGCCATGCAGTAAGAATGAAAGAAACAGATGGCTGAAAACTCAAAAGTCCACATTACCAACTGGCAACCCACCTCAACCCCAAAGGCTGAAGAATAATCATCTAAGGGATTTCAGATACTCTATGAAGAAATTCACTTTAACACTTATAACTTTTAAGACTCTGCATACATTACAACAGTGCATTAGTGATACAAGTTATAAAATGCTTTTCCATTCCTTTGGATTTTGCATATGATGGTTTTGCATCAGTCACTGCAGGTAGATTGAGCAAGCTTTGTTTTTGTGTTTGTTTTTTTAAACATGCATTCAACTAGATATGATTCAGAATAGATTAATACTCCCTTTTTATCATTACAGTTAGCTAAAAAATTGCCAGGCAGCCCACATAACAGGATTTGCTTTAAGACCAACCCACAGAGTTAGTTGGAGACTAATGGTGCTGGGACCTGCTGGGCTGGGCCATAGTAGTGTTTAGCTAAGTGTCGAGAGCATTAAGAAGAAAGTCCAGGTTGGAGGCACGAGGCCTGCAGCACCAGCTGTGGAACCTCCATGATGTGACTGCACAGCTCCATCCTCAAACCTGGCAGGGGGAGAAAGACAGATAGACAGTCAACAAAGAGTACCTCTGACACCACTGCTCCAAAAAGGAGGTGTTTCATTCAACTCAAGGAAGACTTGGACCAGAGTCCAAAATCCACTAGGACCAGAAAGGACAGCAAGGAGAGGCCACTGCTCCTGGTTCCTGTGGACCTCAGAAAGACTTCAGTTACAACCAGAATCCTATTTTCTGCAAAAACCAGTGGAAGATTACAGCATGGAACAGGAAAGGAACAAAGTCTATAGTGTAAACAGCAAGTACTCAATGATTCCCTTCCTTCTTCTACTTTATAGAGTCCCAGTAAGAACAAAAATTTAAATACCACACTGCTCTTGGATTAACAGGTAGTATTTTTCTCATTAGTGTTTAAAATATGTTAGATTGCCATTCTGTACTGAAAAAAATGCACTTAGTTAAGAACTAACACAGGTGGGACCCCTGGGTGGCTCAGTGGGTTAAAGCCTCTGCCTTCGGCTCAGGTCATGATCCCAGGGTCCTGGGATCAAGCCCCACATCAGGCTCTCTGCTCGGCAGGGAGCCTGCTTCCTCCTCTCTCTCTCTGCCTGCCTCTCTGCCTACTTGTGATCTCTCTCTGTCAAATAAATAAATAAAATCTTAAAAA